GTTTCTGAACAAAATATTACCACAGTTATATAAAGTATAAAAATGTTAAAAATGGATTTTTCCTGAAGAATATTAGCATTTTTGCACTCAGCGACCCTAAAAACCCCTGAAAACTCATGTTGCGAGGTTTAAACATACATATCTGATTTAATGCCGCTTAAACCGGCTATTCGAACCATAGTGCGACGTGGCGGGCGGGCGGCCAGCGCGGAACGCGCATTGGCGCCTACAAACCTAACAGGGATACTTCACGCATTGCGCAATGCGTGAAGTATCCCTGTTAGGTTTGTAGGTTTGTAGACGCCAATGCGCGTTTCGCGCTGGCCGCCCGCCCGCCACGTCCGCAGCGTGCCACGGCGCCGCGCCGCAAGCAACTATTTCACACCAGAGGTATTGCACAGTATCATACGAAATTGAAGGCACTCCAACATTATTAAGAATGATAGGCATCCTTTAAGAGCACGGAACTTTTCTCGTAAAATGAATCAACTACTAACGTGGTGAACGCTTTAAATTCCGCTCCGCATTCATACCTATCATTCCCGGTTTTTGGGTGCAATGTAGACTCCGGCACAGAATTTCACTCCAAAATTTTTACAATGTGAATCTTGAGTTGAGTATGAGTAGTAATGCTACTTAATCACTATAATCTTTCAACTTATATTCCAATAAGTAATTGTTAACGATTTATTTTACAGAGCTGGCGTCATATCTACCATCAGATCATTACGACCCTGGTGCTGGTCAAGGTTGTTCTACTACACTCCCCTAGGTCGAAAATATAGAAAGAGTTTGGACAAAGTTTTTGAGATGGCTAATACGGTACATCCATTTACCAAAACCTCTTTTAAAGAGATTGTTACACGATCTAAATAAAAACATATCCAACGAAAAGTGTTTGCGAACTGGGGAGTCAAATTGGACATCATTTTGTAATTAGGAACTAACATTTCTGGCTCATCCGCGGAAACGCGTTTTTGCATAGGGAAACAAATTGTACATACGTTGTTTCTGAACTGAGCCACAGATTATAGTTCCAGAATGAAGTCAATTTGATCAACTGATGATCAAACTGACTCTTTCCCATTCTTTGAGTCAGTCAAACTGATATGTTAACGGCAAGACTTTAAGCTTAATTGATATTAATTCGTGAGATCTATACAAACATACCATTTTATCAACCTTCACCAAGAACCAAGTTGAAAATAAAATTGTAGACTCGATGACTCCGACATAACCGCTGCTCAGTCTTTGGGATATTGTTTGTATCGCGTGATGATAATTATTTCTTGATTCTTGAGTATGTTAATTTATTGCAAAGATTTTTAAATTGGAACATTTTATTATCATCAAGTTCATTTTAGGTATACGTATACAAAATATGCGGTTCAGTAATTCGGATAGTCACGTAGGTTGACGCAATGAAATGGAAAATTTCAATTCGTGTGCAATACCCGAATTAAGTAAGACTTAAAGTATCCTCACAACGAAACTTTGATTTTTTCCAGGCCATCCAAAACAGTAAGAATAAGAGGTCTTCACAGCAGATTGAAAACGAAGATGCGAACAAAAATAAAGGTATTAAAACTGACATCTATCATGAACATGGATTATTATCTTTTATCCCTTGATTTTTGAGCAGTTATAAGTTCGGAGTTCATTAAATTAGTGTTCAACGTGAAACGAAAGGTAAAAGGAAAAAAAATGATAAACTGATTTTTGACGTTTTTTGCTGCCGACATTGCAGCAACAGAAAACCTTTCTTTAGTCACAAAGTGTTTTTACAAGTGCAAAAGCTAGTTCTAGGTTGTAATAATGTGGGGACTTAAGGTTTTAAAAGTAACTAAATCCCTTAAAACTAATATTTAGCCCTAGAAAACTTCATGATAAGCAATGGTATGGATGTGTCGCAGGCAATTGGCAATCCCCGTCAATTTACAAGCAACTGGTGAATAAATATAGAAAATCATACAATTCAAAAATAAAAGAACAAGATTAGAGTGCTGGTTACGTTGCCAATAATGTGAATAGACACTTTTCCTTCCTTAAAAACATTTCGGGAATATACACTCTCAGAAGAGCGAGTAGTGAACTCCGTGACATTAATTGGGTTGAGATCGGACAGGCAACTAAACTAACATCGTGACAAAGCGTAGAGAATCACAAAAAATGAAGGCGCTTCAAGCCGAGCTCTTACTTTTGAAGACCACAACCATTAAAAATTGCACTATGCCGATGCGCATTATTGCACTTGATTGAAACAACGTGTGGACAGCTTGCAAATTGCCGGCGATTGCTAATTGCCTGCGACCGATGCATCATAGAGAAAGAAACAGCGTAATGATTGGGATGAAGGCGTTTTGGAGGTATTAAAATTTAACATTTGTACGTATGTATAATTGGCTTAGTTAATAATTATTTCAAGGGAAAAAGAAGTTAGCATTCCTCGACATTCTGCTGGAAGCTTGTGATTCAACGACCAAACCTTTGTCAGATGAGGGTCTCCGGGATGAAGTGAATACTTTCATGTTTGCCGTAAGTCACATACATTGTCTAAACCTACCTAACCTACCAATATCTTTTAATATAGGAGTTCCAAACGCCCTTATTTTTCAAATACTGCTTTAAGCATTGGAAATAATGAAACAAAGTCTTAACTTTTATAGAAGGTGCTAAAGTATGGAGCTGTAAACCATGTGTATTTCAATTTCCAATTCGTCCCACAAAAATATTTGTATTTGGTGGGAATTACTCGACAAGATCAATATTTAATGCTATTTACTTTCGGTGGTAGAATGGACCTCAATATTATTTATTAAGATTTACTTTTAAATTCAGGTCCTGTCAAAGTTCCTTAAGCAGCGGCCGAATCGTGCAGTTATGAGGTTTTTTCGTCTTTTTAACTTTTGCCTCTAACAAAGCGACGGGGAGAGTACACAATCCGATTTTCAATGTTACATAATTTATAAACGTCCCCTTTCAAGGAAACAGTGTTCTTAAAATTCTGATTTTTCATCTTTAGTGTACGCAAAAGCCGGATTACAACGCAACTATATGCCCTCTACTGAGACAAAAATGAATTAAGTCGCTCGTAGCTAATTCTTCATGTTATAGGAGAGAACTCTGTGGAAATCTGAAAATCCGGTTCTTCGGTCCGACGAGACATAACTCTTAAACCCCTGGACATTATAATTACAAGTATTTGCATTTTCATGGTGTCGTAAGCAACGGATACCTAACGAATTTCATTTTAACGCCTGGATACAACTATTCGAGCTCCTTGGATGCCTGTGTTGCATACGCACTTAAGGGAAGGCGTTTTGACTCCTCAGACACCGACCGCCTCACCAGTGGTGCTCATTCGAGCGAGTCGCGATGAGAGGAGTCATACAAAATGCTTAAACATTAAAAGCTCATATCAATTTTAAACCGAACGAAGACATTTTAGAGGGGGGTTCAGTGATTTTCTCGTAACATTTCCTTCAATTTAGCACTGCATACAATTTAAAAATTGACAAGAGATGTCAAAATAACGAATTTTAATATTTTTTGGCGCGTATACGTAGTATACCGCCTTTGCGATCGTTTCGACCCCCCCCTCGATACAATAACCGAGTCCCCTAGTTCCTTACCGAAAAGTGACTACCGCGAACTTCTGAGATTTTCCAAAGCGTGTAAAAAGTTTACTAATCCGTCAATAATAATGATTAAAATTTGTTTCTCATTCTGGGGCTCGCTAGTTTATGTGTAATGAATACCAAGAGTCTACGTTTCTTGGTTTTTTTTAAAAAAACCTTAGAATGGGGCGCGCTGATTTAAAATATGCATATATAAGCGGAAGCAAGCGAACTGATTCGAGGATGGCTGACCAGTTCGGCACTCCTTGAATGAGAATTTCACTCACTCCGTTTTGTTCACAACGTTGCTTTGACATATCTCCACAACACTGTTATCCTTTTCAAAAGTTGGTACTCCTTGCTCTGATAGCCGGGGCCACCAGGATAGTGGTAAGTGCAATCTGTGATGAGCCTCGAGACTCATTAGACCATTTGCTAAACGTGGCTCATACAGGAGTCCACTAAGCCCTCTCGTCCCCACGCTCCTGATCACTGCGTCGGCGTCACGAAGAACAATGGGCCTTGGGTCCCAACGCGGCCGATACCCGTACCCCAATTACTCACGCTTCATTAACCATTTCACCGTCACGCTAGGATTCATCCAATTTTCAAAAAAAATTGTTTCGCATGTATTTAGCAATTTTTTCCTTACTCTCCGTTAAAACACAAATAAAAAGAGACCTCATTCATAAAAATCGGCCGAATAGAAGAGAAGTTACAGTAATCGAAATCCGAAGAAATCAACAAAACCTCGACTCCTCGATACGAAAAATAAAATGAAGGGGAAAAAAAGAAAGTATAAATTACAATTAAATATAATTGACCTCAAAATTTGACAAACAATTCATTTATATACCTAACGCTGAAAAAACTGGGAGAAATTACAAAAAATTTGCCTCTTGCAAGGGGCTTCTTTGTAAGAATTTTGACCTGAAGACAACGGTCGAATAACAGCAGTACTCCATACAATACACGGTGTGCCTGAACGAGTTAAACATTTTTCATACGTCCAAATCGAAAAATCTTTATATTTTTAACTACAATGTTTCTTGAATCGTTTAAGCAAAAAAAAAAAAAAAAAAAATTCCGTCGAGATTCTGGAACGCAAAGGCGCTTTAAAAGTATTCTGGGGCTATAATAGCTAAATCACCGGTAGTAAATTCGTTATATTATTAAAAAGAAATTGACTCCATAGTTTAATTCCTTAGTTTCTTGAATACGATTATTTTAAGCACTTAAACATTTATACCACCAATTTTAGCCATGGGGTGATTTCCTGAGAGCCGATAATATCACGAATTTCTCATAGAACCCCTCAACAGTGGCTTGCTTTTTTGGCAGCCGATTCGGCCATCGAACCGGAGTTTAAATGGAAGCTGATAATAACCCAAAGCTCTGAGAAAAATTTTGAGATGAGTATAAGAACGGTTTGTTGTAAGTAGCGAGGAGAGGCGGGCAAAGCGGCTAAAATCCTATCTAATTTTTACAGTTTTTCTGTTGAATTAATGTTGCCGCGGGCTTCTGACTGTCCACACATAGTTCTGTTCAGCATATCGATACATAAGTATTTACATTTTACATACGTAGAATCTAATTTTCACGTCGGGGAGTTGACATATTTTGATTTTTTCGATTTTATACGGAAAATTGATGGTTTTTCGGGATTGAAATTATTATTGTTTCATGAAAAATAAATGCACCCAAAATGACTATAGCATATTGATTCTTACACATTTGCACTCACAAAATTGGTTGGTAAATTCAACGAGTGGGTGCATCGACCTGGTATATCAAGTTTCTGCAATTTTTTACGGCAAATCAGTAGATTTTCGGGATGTAGATTGCTTACTTTCAATTCATGAATGAATAAAGCAACGACATGGTTGAACTTCTTTGCATGGAAAGACGTTTAAAATAACAAAATCAAGACGTATTTAATGCAATTGCATTTATATCGAGTCAATTTCTTTTCAATAATATAACGGGATTTTTACTACCGGTGATTTGGGTATTTTAGCCCCAAAATACCTTTAAATCGACTTTATCTTCTAGGAGTTCGACAGAATTTTTCCTTTCTTCGCTTAAATTATTCCGTAGCACTTTTCTTCAAGAATCTGATAAGATTTTGCTTGAGGCAGATCAAAAAACTTAAATTCGATCGAATAGCTTTCTACTTTCACAATACACGGTCTCGTCAAGGTGCGTCTTTGACCTCGCAGTGTTGGATCGTGAATTCTCTTTTTATGCTGTTTGCCTATTTTGAAATCTCTGTAAATGAAAACTAAAGGGGTTGATATGTGCGAGTTAATGACGCGCCTTATCAACACATTGTGTTGGAGTTCACTGCTTGTTTTTCTTTTCATTCTTTTTCCAGGGTCACGAAACAACGGCATCGTCTATGGGTTTCACGCTATTTCTTTTGGGCAATCATCCTGAAATGCAGGTAATACTGAATCAACATTATAAGAAACAATAGCAAATAATGACAGAGAACATAAGGTCAACATCGCAATCGAGTCCCGAAGGCTTGCTTTCATTATGATGCGGTTTAATTAACTGGATTTTTACCTATATCTAAACGCGGTCGTGGTTGGGTTGCTTACTCGTCAATTTGAAGGAAATTAATTTACTCGCCTCTTGAGATTGTTCATTATTAATCTATTCTGATTCGATGCCACTGCGTTGATCAATTTTTCCAGGATAATTTAACTAATCGTCTGAGGGATGAGCCATTCTGTCATTTTAAAGTCATTCAGGGTAAACAAACGGTAAATGCTCGGATAGGCGCACTCATTATTTTAAGTTAAAAAAATAATTTGTTTTCATTGCAAAATGTCAAAATGTTTCCTTAATTTATTTCTGCAAAAACAAGATGACCAAGATTCTAGGATGAAAATTTATGGCCCTGAGTTCCCTTTAAACATAGACATTTTTCGTGCCAATATTGACGAAAAATATAGGCACCGACAAAAATTCTGGGGTTCGCCACCAGAATCTTGGTTGCTGACTAACACCTAGCAGCCGTTTTTGATTGTGCATATCAGTATCACGGTTGTGTAAACCAACAATTCTAGTTGCTTCCGACTAATTCATGAAGTGCCTTAGTAGGTGTGTTGATTTAAATCATTCTAATTCAAATTGCGTCACAAACATCAGATGCTCCAATCTACTGATGACTGTTTGGGAAAATTGAAATACCCTCAACCTGAAATTCTGGTTAGAATCAAATGGACCGCATCAATCAGTTGGCGACAACCCCCCTCTCATCAAAAGTAGCTGCCATTTCTAGGTACCAAGTGGTCTCCACTGGGAATTAACTATGTCCACAGTTTTTTACTGAAGCTACTACACTCAAAAGGAGAACCCCTCCTCAGAAATGTGGTTGAACAAAAAAAAAAAAACCTTGCTTATTCATTTTTTCCGCGTCATTTTTTACAGGAAAAATGCTATGAGGAGCTTGATGATATCTTTCAAGGTTCCGATAGGAAACTCACGGTCGATGATTTACGAAATATGAAGTATTTGGAACAGGTCATCAAGGAAAGTTTGCGACTATACCCTAGTGCAACCGTCATATCGAGACAAGTTGGAGCGGAGACCCAATTTGGTAAAGCTTAGAAAGGAGGGAAGCTCTCCTTTAACTCTCTTTCCTTTCTTCAAAGGCCAATGCAAAGTTTAAAGCTAAGCAACGAGTGAAAAGATTACATTTGACGTTGCTATGAGATTGGGATCTTGTAGCAGAAAAACCAGCACTAAACCACGCATGGCATAGTTCTTCATTGTGTTTCCTCATTCAATCAGCGGAGACAAGCTTGAATAATTTTTACCTCCTCAAGTCATTGAGTCTCCAAATATGTAATCACCCATATAATAATTTTTATCAGAGGTATGACTAACCTCAGATGTTGAGGCACCTCTTGAAAGAAACATATCATACTACTAAGTGCCACTAGCCAGTTGGAGAGTTTTTCCTCACTTTACATGTACGTATAAATTATTTCAAAATTCTCAAGTTGTTGGCTACGAATTTAAGTTACAACATCACATTGCACAAAAAAGTCCTGACAAAATTTTAGGGGCTGAGATTCTACCTGAAATCCCTAGCGATACATGTAAAATCACAAAATATTAGCACGCTTTCCTTGATTGGAATTAGTCGTCTTGTACATATAATTATTTGAACTGTACCAAATCTATTCAGGCATCAAATAGTGCTATTTTTTTATCGTTTTAAGGAAAATACGTTGTACCTGAAGGCGCCACGGTTAATTTGAGCATTTACACGATGCATAGAGATCCGAAATACTTCCCAAATCCGGATGTTTTTGATCCTGATCGATTCAGCCCTGAAAACAGCGTAGACCGACATCCGTTTGCTTACACACCGTTTGCTGCTGGATCTAGAAACTGTATAGGTAAAGGACATTTTTTCGTATACCTCGAAAATTAATGATAATCAAACGATATTTGTCTATCAAAAGCCTTTGAAGGCCGTCGGACGTTTTTAACGGGGGATTTTGAAGCGTGGCTTCCCAAAAACAGGAAATATTGCACTTCCCATTAATACACCAAAAGTTGATGTGTAAACTTTAGTAAAATGCACACAGATTTTGAGTAAAAAATTAGTCGAACAAATGACCGTTAGACCGTTCTTCCTATTTTTTTCTTGGTTAACTGATTTCGGTCGTGCATTTTAAACAAAGATAAGTAAACAAAAACCTGCAAAGGATTTTCGCTTTTCATTTGGGCTATCTATATTCTATCCCCAATTTGGGCGAATTGGATTACATTTTGCAATAAGGAACCACTATTTCTGGCCCATTTTAGAAACAACATACATGCCATTGGTTTCCCTGTGCATATACGTGCTTTTATAGGAGAGCCAGAGATAGTGGTTCCTTTTTGCAAAATGTAATCCAATTTATTTAATGTCGAGTAGTAGTTTTCGTCTAAAACGTTTCTTTATTGATATTTATTCTGTTTTCAAGCCAGATTATTGGTAGAAACGTAGAGGTTCGAATTTTCATCCCTTACCATGATTCATCACACCGAATATTTATGAGAAAGTATTACTAATTAAAGCGTACATGTCCTGTCCTGCCGTTAGGCTATGGCTTCAAGCATAAAAATCAAAGATATTTCAGACGTGACAGTCGAAACATTTCAGGCGCCCTCCATGCCCCCACTTTACCCCCTGTTTTAAATTCAAAAATGACAATTTCTCTCTTTCCTCGTATTTTGATGCACCTAATAGAACGGCATAGCCGGAGCAGTTCCCATTTACATAGTTCCCTACATGAGAATGGCGCATATTTTTTGGTGCCTTGATTGTGCATAACACCCAGTGAACAGTCCACCTATTTAGAATTTTCACATTCCGCTGTAATTGTAATTTCCTTTTTTATTTCAGGTCAAAGGTTTGCCATGATGGAGATGAAAGTGGTGCTGTCCTACATTTTGCGTAATTTTACTTTTGAATCATCTTACGGCGAAGATGAAATGAAAATATCTTTTGATCTCGTCCCACGTGCAAAAAAACCCATCGAAATAAAATTTAAACTCAGGAATGCTACACTAATTGATGAATAAACTTGATTTGATTGAACATATTCTTGTCGGGTTCTTGTATCATTCATTCTTGTCCATTTAATCCCATTTTAAAGAGAAGAGTTTAACGGATAAAACATTTGAATACCAAAACTTTGATAAGATTCAGTGGTATGAATCTACGATCAGAGCAAGAGAAATTTTGGCGTTGGCTGTAAACAACTCTATGAGATAATGGGATAAAAGCCCTTATTTAGGGCGACTTTTTCAGCAAACGCGCAACTCATCACTTTGTTTCCATCCCACGTCCGTGCGAATGTACGATTTATGCACGGCTTATGTTTATGGGTAACTGCTTCTCGTCTCATGTATAAATTGACCGGTAATACCATTGGATATGGAGGCGACCTTGTATCACAGTCGAAACAAGAGGGATAAATGCAGTTCGACCGAACGGTTTTACCAACACGTCATACATGTTTAAGTGAATGGTATGTTACAAACTTCAGTCAAAGTGAAAAATTCATATTGCCTCTCAAAGCAAAGCTCTTAAAAGTTATAATGCGCGCATTGGGCGCAGACTAAAATTTATTCCTTACTTCACAATCTGCGTGTGGGAAAGTACATTTTGGAGCTTCCCGCATGAAAAAGTATACTTCGGCAATGACGTTATTTGATGAAAATGCATCAACCTGGTTCCATGATTCCACACAAATCTTGAAATGACTGTCGTCGTGTAATTTAGCTTCTTAAATAAAAACGAAACACTTTTTATCACTTTCTCACTACACAATTTTTTTAGAAGAAAGAAGTAAAAAGTTAGAATATGAGGCCCTTCTTATCCTATTTTTTCAATTGAGGATCTACATAACAAGGCGGTCATTTCCAGTTTCGCGCAGAACCATGAAACCGGGTTAATCTATCTTTTTCAAATTTGCGTTTTGTGATAGTATTTTTTTAAGGCAAAAAGCCAAAAAAGCGATAATCTCCAGCGCAGGTTGTAGGCAAATGGTGGTGGAAACTATTTCAAATCTCTGTTGCGTCAAACGCGTTTCTGGAAAATTTCGCCCAGGTTTTTCCAATTCATTTTCGGTGGTCTTGCCCAGGTACTTCAAATCATATAGAAAATTCCAAAGAATCAGCACTTTTGAAGCCAAGGAAATCCACCGGAGCTTCTCTTTAGGGGAGACGAAGTCCCTCAGGCCCTTCTCGATGAGGTAAAATTGAAGAGCTTGGAGGACAGTGCCCATAGTTGCAGTTTTTGAAAAAATTGAGATGTTCATGATTTCAACTAAAACCAGTCTTAAAATATAATATGTGCAACACTGACTCCCCAATTCCAATTTTCAAGCATCAAACGTGAATCTAAACTTTCTTTTTGCCATGAGACTCCATTTTAATTTAAAACGTTAAACACGGATTTCTCGAAATACATGGAAAAAATTAAATTGCTGGTTTAAAAGTTCAATTGCTAAAAAAAGTGACTGCAATGTTTCAACGTAGATTTTACAACAAAAAAATGCTACTTTAACCACCCCTGTGGTTAAATTAGCTAACAATAGTGGTTAAAGTAGCATTTTTTGTTGTTTTTTTTTTTTTTGTAAAATCTAAGTTGAAACATTGCAGTCACTTTTTTCAACAATTTAATTTGTTTCGTGTAGCAAAACCTGTACTTTTGCGCTTTGTCCTCCAAGCAAGCCCCTCAAATTCTACCCACCCGAAAAAGTAGAAACTTAATCTCTTCCATGGAGTTCCTTCCATTCACGCGTGCCATCTTGCAAGGATTTCCACTATAACGTTGTAACGTTTATAATAACGTCAAGTCTGAGTCAATCTCCAGAGGCACACTCTCGGAAAACCCGTGGGAAAGCCCGCAAGCTCGAAGACGTCTATTCTTCCAAAATTTTTCGGGGCATTCCAAGCGATTCTTTCGTTTATTATCATCATTAAATCGTGCCTTTGTGCGAAATTTTTCCACAATGATCGGAGATTATGAGATGCAAATCTCCGGATCTTGCACCGACCCGAGAGCATCGACACAGTTCGAAATGCCAAAACCGATTCTAATTTGATGATATGGATTCTTCGGGTACGAGCTCCCAGTCTGCATCGTGAGACGAGACGCTGCAGCTCGGAGATCTCCGTGGGCAGCCGCCGCCGTCATCGGGAAAGTTCAATCAACTTTGAAGTTCCAAGTTCGAAAATCCATTCGAAAGTGCTGTCCGAAAGTTTTACGCGACTGGATATTAAGAGGACCTACGATCGGGAACGGAGATACACCTTATTTTAGAGCCAAAGGTGTTCGCTTTTCAGTCTTTAGGGTAGGTAAGGGTGTCTGTACGTTGAAGATAGGGGTTTACCTTAGGGATCAGTACTGCCGTGATAAGGAAGAGCGCCGTATGAACCTCCGAGAGTTGCCAAATTTCCCTCAATAAAATATGTATTTTTGAAAATATTCATGCATATTTTTTCTTGAAATTTTCAGATATTTTAGATTAAATTGCTTTCAAAATTGTCTGAAAATTATGGGAAATAATATCCGCAATTTTCCCAGTAAATTCGGTTTTTATCGGAGGAAACTTGAAAACGTCTGAAGGCTTATACGGCGTTCTTCCTTAGCACAGGAGGGTAGCAAGGAATGGTCTAAGGTTGAGGTGAAGCGACCGATTTTTTTTTTTTTTTTTACTCTCTCGACAAGGATCCGAAGAGCGAAGCTGCCCACGATGTCAAAAAAACATAGTACTTCATGAACGTCTTCAGGTCAATGGTAGAGGACTGAGCTGCCGTGCTAAGGAAGAACGTCATATGAACATTCAAATGTTGCCAAATCTGTCGCGATTAATTGTGTGTTTTTTAGGGTGCTTGTCTTGCGAAAGTTCAATCAACTTTGAAGTTCCAAGTTCGAAAATCCACACGGTGCTGTCCATATCCGTTTGTGTGCTTTTTCGTGCTGTCCGAAAGTTTTACGCGATTGAAGACACTCGATAGGGAACGTAGATACACCTTCTTTTTGGGCCAAGGGTGTTCGCTTTTCAGTCCTCAGAATCTTTTCTTGAAAACTTCAGACATTTTAGATGAAATTGCGACAAATTGTCTGAAAAATCGGAAGAAAAATACTGACAAATTTTACTGAGAGTCCGTGATTTGTAAAAGGAAGTTTGGTAACGTCTGAAGGCTTACATATCGTTCTTCCTTAGCAGGGCAGTGAAGGGGTCATATACCCTGTAACTCTCGCCTCCTTCCTTAGCCGTCATTTTTAAATGTAACAATGCAGCAGGGATATGAATGTGTTGTGATTTGTTTTAAATATTAGGAATTTCAAACAGAATTTTGAATTTGAAATTGACCAGTTCTCTGAAAGTAAATTTGCACTAGAATCCCAAGGCTTTACATTGTTCATCAGAATAATTAAAAGAGTTCAAAAGCATTGGGAATGGATGAGGATCCAAGTAATTGTGTTGATTTTATTATTTTCGGTAGTAATTGACGGATTTGCGACATCCGTCATTCTATTCAGAGACGCACTAAGCCAATTCAACTAATATCTGAGTAATTTATGATCGTTCAAATAGTTCATAATTTCAGAAGCATCAGTTCCTGGGCATTCGAAGTCCTCAGTGAGAAAAAAAAGTAGTTCGGTGGCCCCGAGTGGCTTACACGTAATTTTTTAAAAACTTAAATTCCATCAACTTCTTTGATGCTGGATATAAATTCGCGAAGATTGTGCATTTTATGTTGGGTGTAACATTTGTGAAAATGGGTGCGTTCAAATAATAAAACTTTAAATGAAATACTCTTAATAAGGTGTTTCGGTATAGTTATCAAATTCTTGAACGAAAATTTTGAACCGAAAAGAATAGATTGGTGAAATACAATGTATTTCAATGTATTTAATAGGTATCCGGAGTCCTCAGCGAGAAAAGACATTATCACGATGACCCCGAGTGGTTCGCGCGTAATTTTTTTGAAAATTAAATTATTATCAACTATATTAACTAATTTTATGTTGGGTGTAAATTCGTGAAAATTTTAAATTTTAAGTTCGGTGTTAAATTCGTGAAATTAGTGCGTTCAAATAATAAAACTTCAAATGAAATACTTTCAATAAGGTGTTTCGGTATAGTTATCACATTCTTGAACGGAAACTTTGAACATAAAAAAATAGTTAGGTATATAAATCAATTTAATAAGCTGTATCCCAAAGAAAAGTTGTCAACTATTGTATCTCGTTTGATTTCATTATATATAAATGTACTGTGGCTTTCTAGTTTGAAGAAATGATCCTCCACGCATTGGCATTATTGGCTATTGTTATTGGATACGTTGTGCATACTTTTAGGAAGATTTTGCCATGCAATCAAGAGCAGTATCAAACGGTAGAGAAAATACCAGGTCCTCCGATAGAAAACAAAGTTCTAGGACACCCGTCGATGGCATTCCTCAAGCCTGAAGGTTAGTATTTCTTTCTCAATTTTAATAATTTTCGACATGAAACACTGTTATCCGTCATGAATTTTTCATGTAAGTTCACCCTAGATTTTCCATCGTGATTCTTGCATTTAGTATCAATGTTAAACTAAAAACAGCTTATCCTTTTTCACACTCAAGACGTGTGTCCATTCTCTTAACCATTCGTTAAGTCTTTACATTAAAATAAATATCTATTAAAATCCAAATAACCTATGCTTCTAATATTTGTACAATGGGCCTGTTGCAAACTTTTGCTAGAGCAGAATGAAGAGTTGTTTCCTATGGATAATGCCTCAAAAATCACGATGAGCGCATCGGCAAAGTCTGAAATGCACTCATAACTTCACAATCTGCGTAAGAAATTTGCGTTATTTTGAGCTTCCCGCTTCAAAAACGATACTACTGCACAGGTGAACATTTTGTTAGAGGAGTCGCTCCATCGTCGGCAATATTCATCATGGCCGACGCTTGCGCAGTTCCTCGCGTAATTCGAGGAGAGTTCAAGGTCAATTAAGGCGGGCGAGGAAAATATGAACGTAAACACGCCGATTGTTATATGGTTTAATCCTGTTCAAGTGTTATCTCGTCCCATCACACGTGTTTTGGCGGACTGGCGTCGGCCATGATGAGTATTGTCGCCAATGGAACGACTCCTCTAACAAAATGTTCACCTGTACCGTAGTATCGTTTTCGAAGCGGGAAGCTCAAAAAACCGCAAATTTCTTACGCGGATTGTGAAGTTATGAGTGCATTTCAGACTTTGCCGATGCGCTCATCGTGATTTTTGAGGCATTATCTGTAGGAAACAACTCTTAGTTTTGCTCTAGCAAAAGTTTGCAACAGGCCCATTGTATTGCTTCTCTCGTCTTTCCCGCGAGTTTAATTACTTATTCTTAATTCTACCGTTTGCACACAGTTTTACCTAGAGCGATATACCAACAGTACAAAGAATTCGGAGGTATATTTCGTCACTGGTATGGGTGGATACCCAGCGTCATAATTGCAGAGGCAGACTATGCAAAGGTATGTACCTACTTTTGGTTTCCTTGAAAGTATTAGATTCGGAATGCGTTATAAAGACGGACGAGTTCATATGCTGAAGTTCCGGACATTTCCGTGAGGGTAGAAATGGATATTCACAGAAATATCGACGCCGCAAAATTAATTAGATGTGCAAATCAAGTATTACTTTTAAAAATGAATATCAATGGCCGAAGTCGAAAATTGCGTATCGCACTTATTATAGGAAGAATGAATCCCAAGAATGAGTTCATTAATTTTCCAAATACGAGGCATTCAACTGAATTTTAATGTGACAATTTCGTGCTCTGGTCATGACCGATAATAAGTTCAAATAACTTTTTCTTGAAATTCTGTTCTTTGGTATACAAGCCTCGAATTGACATAGTCCAGTTTGATTTGACATTTTTGAATACTTTCCGTCCCTAAATTTTAAAAAAAAATTGTATTTAAATTTTTTTTATTTTAAAATTTTTAAGTACCTCTACAATACTGTATTGAATCAATAACTTAATTGGATGTACTTATACTAAAAGAAAATACGTACAAATTGACTCCGTTTTGCGATGCACAACTACTATTCTTTGCTAATTTCAGTAACGACATCTACGTGCTATTAGTCCCTCGATGCAGAGACGTGCCTCTTACGATGAGCCAGAATACTGCTACTAATTGTAAGAAAAAACGCCGTATGAACCTTCAGACATTTTAAAACTTCCCTAGTTAGAATACGACTTTTCGGGAACATCTGTGAATACGACGCATCCAATTTATCGAAGATTTATATTTGCCATTAGGTTTAAATTATCTGAATATACTAAGAGCAAAGATTCATAACTCTCCTAGTTAAATATTAACATTTCACTGAAGGAAATTTGGCAACTCTAGAAGGTTCATACGGCGTTCTTCCTCAGCACAGTAGGATAGTAGATCCTTATTGCAAAACGTAGTTTAAAGGAATTTATTAGAAAAGAACAATGCTGCATATAATTCCTGCGCATATAGGTAAATCCATTTGATTTTCCCTCACTCGTACACAGTTCTTCTTGCATATTTCCGCTAAAATTGGACGTATTCATATTCAATTATGAGTAACTATGTGCTATGGCCCCCTTTTTTGTGGATGATCACAACATTATTCTTACGCTCTTTCAAACCTTTTCAGATTTTCTTCACCTCAAAAAGTCTTAAGGACAAAGCCAATTCCTACAAAATTGTCCTCGACTGGATGGGTCATGGACTGATCACCAGTAACGGTAGGTCTCTCATTGACTTCACATTTTTCTAACTAACAACTGTGGAATGCCATACATTAATACCTGCAATTTTTATTATTACGAGTGAGGTGCAATTACATTTTTTTTCTAAGTATTTTATTGTTATTATTTTAATTTCATGACACAAATGAACTTTAAAATCAATCTTGGAGATTACAAAATGGCTCCGCACAGATGGTCAAATTTCCCGACAAAAGTATGTACCATTGAGTAAACGGGTATTACTTGACATTACCGATGTTATCAACACTGCCTTGATACTTTTCTGTTGGCTCCAAAAATAAAGCATGTGCTTCACGGACAATAAAGAGCACGGAGTTGTTGGATGATATGGACATTTCCAATGAATCACGGGAATACCCCAGTAATTTACCTAGGGTGCGAACCCAAATGTTACGGTACTACCACAATTAATTGGAAATTTCCGTATTATCCAACAAATTGGGGTAGTACCACAACTTTAAGGAAAAACCCCCAACACTTTTTTTTCCATGTTCAGTGATAGGATGTGAACACCGCCTATTCCACAGTCTGTAAATGAAGTGATCACGGCTCTTAGCTTTATACAAAATCGATCCTTGTACTTATAAAACCAATCTACAAGTTTTGACGGCAATTCCCAAAAAACTATAATGACATGCGATGCGACTCTGAGCTAAGAGAGAGAGAGAAAAAAATTATGTGTGTTGGTTAACTCGTTTGCATGATTTGATTAAGCCCTGCAGCTACTTCATTTAAATGCCAAAATCTTCGTCGAGTTCAATGCACGTAACAATTTCCCGAACTATTCTGAGCATCGGCGGATTAAAATGAGCATTACTCTTGTTTTAATACACACTCACATCTTGAGCAACCCATTTTACATAATTTGAAAAGCATGTTATGTTTTTCTGGCCTGAGTTTGATTGTGAGAGCTCTTTTAACTTTAAATGCCTTAATGGATAGACGACGGACATTGAGGGCGGCCCCTTGCCGATTGGTTCAACCATCTTAGGTTTTGTGGGGCTTTTTGAGATCCAAAAAATGGCGAACGCTGAGCCCACAAAAGGCCGAGAGGGAAGTTTTACTCTTTTCCACCTGAGATTTTTACACAAATTATGTTAAAAATATTTGGTGCAGCTTAAAAATCCATTTCAAGCATAGCACTAATGTAGGAAAATATATTTCCGACAAATCTCTCTAATAATACAAGATTGGCAGAAAAATAGGTGATAGTTCATTTTTTTTTTTTTTTTTTTTTTTTTTTTTTTTTTTTTTTTTTTTTTTGAAGAATTTATTGATAAATTACAATGGACCACTAGACAAGGTACGAATTTAAGCAATCTGATACATGTTTCTTAACCAGAATTTCACGTAGAACACGATTCACACTACGGAAATTACCGAAATCAACTTCTAACGAAGATATTAACGTTTTTATTTCGCACTGATTACGAGGAATTTGAACTGCCCGCTCACAAGAAACTCAAAGCTCTACGTGAGTCAAATCGCGCACTACAACGGTTTCAGCAAGCTTCTCAATCGAGCAATGTTCATTTTCCACCATGTATTGTTCAAACTATTGGTAATTTGCTATAGCTGAGCCAAAGCGTCAAGATTGAGGTTGCCAGATTTTTATATTGCAGAGACTGTCATGATAACGTTTAGCGCGCGATGTGAATCACGTAGAGCATTGAGTTTTCATGAGCGGGTGGTTTGAATTCACGCATCAAGAATCATTAAATATCTTCGTCAGGAGTTGATTTTGGTAATTTCGTTGTGCGTATCGTGTTCTACGTGAAATTTTGGTTGAGAAACATGTATCAGAATGCTGAAATTCGTACCTTGTCTAGTGGTCCATTGTCGCCACTACCTTATACAATCTACGGGTATCTATCGACTAGTATTAATAATAAAAGATTAAAGATATAACTTAAAGTGAACGTATGATACGTAAAAAGTAAACTTATCATAAAGGTCTGGGGCCAATGTATTAAAAAATGTAAGAAAGGTGTACCCTTCATGCGGAGGCAGACAGGGAAGGGCGGGGAGCACCCCGCCGCGAGAGGCCCATCAACAGAATGGAAGAGAATTGGCCCTTTGGCGTTAGCTCTGTTGGCACTCTCTATAGTCTACTTCATTTACAACTGTTGGTGGACCCCAGCGGGGAGCCCCCGGACCCCAGCCCCCCCCCCCACATTCAGAGTTGATTTAACATAAGGATAGTTCATAATTGTCAAAAGTTGGTAAAGCGCAATATGACTCTCATATATTTGAAATCTCCAATTTTTAGGGGTCCTAAATGAGTTCTATGGGGTAAAATTTCCATTACCTCCCTTTATGTGTAATCCTCTTTTCATTTAATTTACCTCTTTAATTAATGAAAGACCGGTACGTCACGGTAATGAAGTCCTAAACTCTAATTAAAATGGCAATCAACCTCATACATTGTTTTTTTTATAACGACCTACAATTTCGTTTGTTTTCAGGGGCATTATGGCATGAAAGGCGGAAGATGCTCACACCTGCTTTTCATTTGAGTGTGCTGAATATGCTCCACGAGATATTGGTGCAAAATTCTATTGTTATGATCCGAAAACTAAGGGAACGTTCGGAAGACGCTCCTATGGACGTGTATCAGGCGATGCATCTGATGGCTTTAGAAAATATTTGTGGTGAGTAAAATACTCTGTAAATATCCTGCTTCTTTGGCTTATGGGCGTATATCTCTATTTCCACAAGAACCCCAGAAAGCTTAGAGTTATACAGAGCGCAGGGCTCATGTGGAATTTGAAGTACGCCCTTATGTCAGAGGAGCGGCGATATAACCGTGCATTAAAAAGTGTCATCAATGCAGAGAGTTTAAGAATTTTTTCGTCAAGTTGAGTCTAGAAATAGGAATTTGAATTTTTGCCGCAACACGCCCTCTCGTATCCCAAAAAATAAATTGCAAGTGGCTTTGGGCCATTTTTACCTGATGGAGAGTTAGTTTAGTATTTTGGTCCGACAAATTTGCATTTCGAGTTTGGTAAGATAAAACTTGCGTTTGGGTATATAAAACTTACTATACTTAAGCTGTCTCTACTCCAAACTTCTCTCTTTGTCCTTCTTTTTCTTTATATTTCAATAATTTTTTTCATCAAAAATTGAAGCGTATTTTTGCATGATATTTCAGCCTTAAAGCACTGTATGAAATTCATCTCAGTGCAAATAACACCACATCAAAAAACGAACAAACGATAAACCTTAAAAAAGTATAAGAATAGTCCACCACCTGATTGCGAGAAAAGATGTAAGCAGTCTTGAAATGAAGTTAAAGACTCCTCTTGGATCAGCGAAGTTAATAAAATAAGCACTAAATCCACTATTCAACCTTGGTTTTCGCCCTATTTTAACAGCTAGTGATGATTAATTTTGAGCAATTCTTTTCAGAGGCGGCGATGGGAGTTAAAATTGACGCCCTTGACAACCCACAAATCGACTACGTTCAGGCCATTGAAAAGTAAGTAAACGTTCCTATCTGTAAGTTACGGTTTGAGAATTTTCGTCATTAGTTTCTACGTCATCGAGGTAATAATGTAAGCAAAAGTTAACCATCGGTATAATACCTGGTTCCCCTCAGAATTTTATTTGGATAATTCCACCACTGAAAACAGAATAACTTTGATTTATGGTCACTGTATATGATGTTTTTACTCGGTTCAATCTGTCGCTTCATTTAACATAAGAGCGTAACTCCCACTTTCACGTGAGCCTTGTAAAGCATCAAGGCATATGGGCAATAGAGTTTAGCTTCAAGTGAAGATACGTTTTTACGTCAGCAAGGCAAAGAAGTGCGTTCATGAATCGATTACTTCAACGGCTGTTCGGTCAAGAATCAACATACATTAAGTTAAGTGTATGCCTTCAGTAGTATTGTCTCGACTTCTGGTGCTCAAACGAATAATTTCACCTCATTCCAAAGTTCGCGAGTTCCAGCATCTGATAATGTTATTACTAGCGAGTATGCATGCAAAAATTCGAGACAGATTTATACGCGAGCCTTTTCATTATGAAATGTAACGATGCATTTGTAACAACGCTTACTCATTTACATGCCACCAGGAACCAATATTTGAGTTCAGCGGACGCCGACTGTTATTTTGTTAGTCAATTATTTATTTAGATTTATTTAGGAAGCAATTTCGTCGACTATTTTTTGAATCCATTCTCCGATTTTGGAAATGTGCGATTTCAACTATGCGCCCACCGTACGTCGAAGAATGAAATTAAGATTTTACTAATCGAATTAAGATCGCGGTTTGTGCTTCGAAGTGAGTTCGTCCATATATCAAAGAAAATATAGTTGGGAGACCCGGTACTGTCATCTTCCCTGCAAAAAATATTTTCGGAAGTCACTCCTTAGATTCGTATAATTGTTGCTAAATGTTGTAATATTAAATTCATAGAAATTACTTTTCTATGATTCCTCCTCTGCTAAATATACCAGATGTTTTTTAATTATTCATTTTTTCCATTTCTTTAAATTCCAGTGTTCAACACGCCACAGTCAAGAGAATTGGGGAGCCTTGGTTCTGGAACAGTTTATTCTATTACTCTGCGACTGGTCAACAAGTGACCAAAAGCTTGGATAAAATTTTTGAACTTGCGCACAAGGTAAATTACATTTCACACTGTTTATATATTCTATTTTTGAATGAAGGCAAGAGACTAGTATTTTCAAAGAGTAAAACAGTGTTAGCTTTGAATTTTCGGTGGGAGAAATAAGTCGTTGGTTTTTACTCGAAATAGTTTACAAAATGGGATTTATAGACAATGCTGAAGGACGCGCTAACATCCGTCATTTTAGAGCAAATAATAAAGATGAATACTCATTATACGTGTGATTCAAAAATGGGTGGCATAAGTATTTAGCTGATCATATACATACAGCAACCAGCCATGTTTCACCATCACAACAACTCTCTCCTGACGTATCGTGAATATACTTTTATTTTTCGATACTTCGACTTTACATGCGTAGTTGTACCATATCAATGGTTAGAGCCGAAAATATTGCAGGGTTACAAATCTCTACTCTTATTTTATTTTTTAAGTCGAAACTAACCAATAATGTCTCTAAATTTTGATTGATTACACCGAAAAAAATGTGAAGTTGATTTAACATTCTGGATGTCGTAAAAGTGTGCAAGAACTTATAAAATGCTCAATTGCCCGAAACAGCAGTTAGTTATACATCTTAACATTGCTAAAGTTAGTAACTACTGTAGCAGGCAGTTCAGCATTTTAAAAGTTCTCGCACACTTTTTTTTCACCCGGAATGTTAAATCAACTTCACTTTTTTTTCGCTGTACTTTTCAAAAAAATGAATCATAATCGGAGATGTGAAGCATTGCGATGAAGATATGCTATTTCCGACTTCACGTGTCAATATACTCTGGCAGTCAGCTTTCCCTACATTTCCCTCGTTTTTTCTTTTTTCTTGAACAATCTAATTGAAACTGAGAACCAGCCATAAATCAAAATGATCAACGTCATTTATTTGACGCTTTGTATGATCCAGCAAGGCATCGCCTTGCATTATGCATTTTTTTAGCCTTGAACCTTGGAAATGTAAACTTACTCTTTTTCCCTTACTGAATATTGAGAGGAACTAAGTGTGAGTTACGTTAGATTATGCGTGCGCTTTTAGATTTTCATGAATACATTGCAATCCGTCTGATCTCATGGCTAATTGTGTGCTTAAACGGTTGTTATCAACTTATGCTCCCCCAAAAGTTTTTAAATCATTTAAGAATGGAAATTATTTTACCCATACTGCGGTCATAATATGCAAAGCTTTCAAGGAGTTTGCTTTGTGCTGCTTCTTTGCGTTAAAAAACCATGCTTTCGTTTCAAAAGGATTACCAAAATCACATAATTGAAGTCAAACTGCTCTGGATTTAAGCCTGTGTGAGACTCAAGAATGTCTAATTTATTAGCGCCCGGGTATTTTTGGCGTCACAATGCTTGAGTGAACTGACCGATTTGATTCAGCAAAAGTTAGGACCCACATCATACCATATAGTGTTTAGTAATTTTTTATTTGACCAAAATATGAGTTTTCACAATACCATTATCAATTAATTAAAATGTAATTATTTGGCTGAAATTTTTTTTGTGATTAAAGTATATTATAACATTAAAATTTGATTTTTTTAGGCTATTTTGAAAAACAAGAACAAGAAAGCTCGCCAAGTGGAAGACAAAGAAAACGGAAATGATGAAGTCAAAGGTGAGAACTCAACAATTTTTTTTTAAAAATATAGGGTCAATTACGTGTTTTTTACTTTAAAATCCATTTCAAAATTCTCATCAACTGATTCGCAACTTTTAAACATTTATCTTTTCATGAAAAAGGCTTTATTTCTTAATCCAGACTTTAATCCTTTTCATTGCATCCCTTCCTTCTTCTCGCGTGAGTGCTAATTTAAACCTGCGAAGAAATTAAGGAGGCCCTTGAGTAACGTTTTCATAATTTCGAGAGACAGAGTAAAAAATTAACAAGTACAGGGTTTGTACTTCGTGAAATTTTAAAATGATGTTGAGGGGCTAAAATTTGAGTTTTGATGTCAATTTTTTGTTGTAACTGTTCTTATTTAAAGTTATGAATGTAAGGCTGAAGCATCCTCCATATGGGTCGTTAAAATTTCTCTTGAACTGACCAACCTAACAACGAATCAACGCTTCACAATATTGCCGATTATCCAAAGCCCCTTCAATTTTTGACACGCAACACGCACAGCCGAGAAGCACGAATAGTTGTATCCAGAAGTACATGAAGATATCGTACCTTGCCAGCCGAAAAATTTAGGCGCTTAATCAAACTTGAGCCAGTTTAAATCTTGCAATGTATGAAATGGACCGGTTTCAAAACTTAAAACATGAATCAGCGTCCTACGATCGTTTCAAAATATATTCAAAGAGCAAAGGCTCTCACCTTACTCCTAATATTCGCCGCCAGTTTTAATTTTTGGTCCTTGGAGGTATGAAATCTTTTGTGATTCGATTACTTGCGATCGTTCACGAAATAAATATAGCTTAGCTCTCGATGACTTAAAATTCACCTATTGATCGCTGCCATGGTATAATCCAAAATATCAAATCAAACCAAACATTGTCGGTTCGATGTCTCTGGTTTAAAAGACATAGAATTCAGTTATAAAAGCTATTCATATCAGTCATGTTTAGGGCACGAAAGTGACGAATTGGAGCAAAATGTCACGCCTGCTTTTTATAAAACCAATGGGTTGATTATTGAAATTGATAGACAAGACGATGGACAAAGAAGACACAGGGAGCCTGGAGCGATCCTATGGGTTGAAATGGGCGGTTCCTACAGGCTAAGGGAGAAAATGATGGACTAACTATAGGGTGTCTCGTAGGTTACCATAAGTTAGTCTATAACCTACCTTCTTCGTCCATTGCAACCACCCACTTCCACCTCTTGTGTCTTCTTTATCCATACCTTTGCCTATCAATTTCAATAAATAATCGACCCGCTGAGAGAGTTTTCCGTCAAGACGTCAAAACCCAATTTTCCCTCCTAATTCGGTGAATGCTGCTCCACTGGCAATTTTCCTCCGTGAATCAAGGCTCCTTTTCCCCATCTTAAACCGATTTTCATCAGAAACATAATAAAAATCACCATTCGGATTTGTTTCAGGAACGACAAAACCGGCTTTCCTTGATATCCTATTAGAGGCCCACGAATCTCCGACGAAGGCTTTATCAGAAAAGGACCTCAGAGACGAAGTTAATACATTCATTTTTGCGGTAAGAGAACATAATGAAGGTACCATTTAATCTTATGAAAATAGCCGGTCGACATCGAATTAAACCATTCATTTTAATGCACGTCTTCTATGTATTTGACATTTGAGGGCACACCTTCTGACCACCAAAAGCGCTTCGCGCTTAGGATGTTATGCGTTACGCTTGATTTCATATTATAGAGTAAGAGTTTGACTAAAATTAAAATGATTTGAGGGGAGGGCTGGTTATACAAGCAGTGTGGCGAAATATAAGTCATGGGTATACATGTAAACATGTGGGAGGATTCATCAAAGATATCTTAAGTATTGTTCCCAGTTTCTTTTATTTTCTTTTAAGTAGTTGAATGCCCCAAGTTCCAAGTTACAATTTTGTTTTTTCGAAATTTTTATAGGGGCATGACACAACGGCAACATCGATGAGTTTTTCTTTGTTTCTCCTCGGCATGCACACAGATATTCAGGTAAGCCTAATTGTATTATTTTTTACAATTTATTGGTAATAAAAATTGCATAGACTTGAATTGCACAAAATGTCAATACAATAAATACTCGTGTGTCTGTTATTTTTCCCAAAATCAGTAAACTTCCTCAAGCGCAAGTCGCATCAATAATTTTTGATGCCCAACTGTAAGAATCGATCGGACATTGCTTACATAATACGATGTATTCAAACAGACTAATACAAAAGTGTCCAAAAATTTTGAATCAAACCGGAATCACTAAGTTTTGAGGTTTTCAGTACAACACACGCAGTATTGAACCCCCTCCCCTTCTACCTCCCTGCCTGGAAGGGATCTCCCTACATTCTCTCCGAGTAGCTTTTCCCGCTTACTATCTAAAAAGAAAATCTTGTCATCAATTTCTAATTTTGCTCATTTCTATTGCGTTTCATTCAGGAAAAATGCTATCAGGAACTTGATGATATTTTCCAAGGTTCAGACAGAGCACCAACAGTTGACGATTTGAAGTCTATGAAATATTTGGAACAGTGTATCAAGGAAAGTCTGCGGCTGTTTCCAAGCATCCCTTTCATTTTAAGAAATTGCCAAGAGGACGTTCAATTCGGTAAGGTCATAAAAAAGATTGATTGAGTACATTAAATTATTAGTCCAATGCACAGTGCGTCTTTTAGTTATGATACTTATTTTTCACAAAGCGAAGGCGCTACACCTAAGAGTGCAGTGGTATCGATGTTTTTGGAGTCACCGAAAAGCAAACTTTAACTATCTTATAAAAAATGTAGTCTTTATTTTCAGTAACATGAGCGTAGCTGTGAGAGGGTGGGTTGCAGGGAGTTAGCACCCACCATTTGAAAATATGAAGCAGCTCAAAACCCCTGTGAAGAGTATAAGAGCATGAGCATCCCCTCTCCTCTTTCCACGAAATTTGGACTACATTTTGAAATTTGGAACTATGGATTCTACAGCCCGGTTTAAAAACAACGTATGTGCCATCAGTTTCCCTATGCTCATCAGTATTTTTCCAGAGAGGCCAGAATTTATAGTTCCGAATTGCAAAATGCTGTCCATTTGTACAGCTCTCTGCTTGTGCCAGGTGTATATTCGCGTTAAACTTGAAATCGATAATTCTTTAAGGGCAATTTTCTCTCTGTGCTTTGATTTTGCGAAGGAGTGTCTTGTCAGGCCTCTTTCAGAAAATTATTTATCGGTCATCATTATGCGCTATTACTAGTCCGTTGTGGGATTAATCGCAAAGATGTATTGCGAGTTTAGCTGATATGCATGAAGTGGAGATTGAAGAAAGGGGCTGAAGAAGAAAGTCGAGAGCAAACCGGTTAAAATTAGCCCATCTCTAAAGGTCAATAAATAAATACATGCATGTATCTTTCAAGGCTAATACTTTTATGAGCCGCTCCGACAAGTTTTCATGTTTAATTTTCGGATTTCAATATATTCGCAGGAAATTACACCGTTCCAGATGGCGCAACGGTGGGTCTCTCCATCTTTTGTATGCATCGGGACCCGAAATACTTTCCTAATCCGGAGATTTTCGACCCTGAGCGATTTAATAGCGAAAATTGTGTCGGTCGACATTCGTTCGCATACGTGCCGTTCGCGGCGGGATCTAGGAATTGTATAGGTAAGATTTTGAAGTCATTATTTCAGGGGCGTAGCCAAAAGGGTTTCGATTTATTACATTTAATTTTAGGTTATGTTTCTTGCTTTGATAATACATGCGACATCACTAAGAGAAAACCTATGAACCGCGGTGTTCAATATCGGCCATGTTCTTCGGTTCGTGTAACCGCTCTCTCGATTCCTGGAACCGTATCCTCGATTCTGGGAACCGTATCCTCGATTCTGGGAACCGTATCCTTGATTCTGAGAACCATATCTCCGATTCAGGGAACCGTGTCCTCGATTCTGAGAACCGTATCCTTGGTTCATGCAACCGAGCATTCAACCCGCACAGAACTAAGAAAAAGAAAAAGCTCGGTTGTATAAACCGAGTATACGGTTCCCAGAACCGAGAGAGTGGTCATATGAACCGAACAATACGGTCGATATTAAGCACCGTACATACGGTTCATAGGACCGAACTTTTTTCTCGGTGAAATACCGCAGGTTTGTTCATTACTGAGAATGACTGATGAAAACTTTCTGAGAGAACGCTTTTTTTACAAAGACGATTCTTAAGGATAAAAACCCAGAAAACCCGAATTTGCATCGGAGATACAAGGCGAGAAGATCGGTTGACGTTACTCAACTTGTTTGCGTCCCACACCTGTCGGTTTAGGACTGATTGTGAGACGCAAACCGTGGTGCGTTGCCGTTGTGGCTCTAATCCAGCAGGTATGGGACGCGAAAAAGTAAAGCGTCCAGCCCACGTACAAACTGGGGCTCTCAAACTGGCACTAATTCTTCTATTTCTCAGCCATTTCTGCACGGGATGCCTTGAAAATTTCAAGATCTGATCTGTGATGTATCCCGAACACATCGGTTACCCTCAAAGATCGTCGGCCCGACGATCTTTGAAAGGCAACAGTCAACAGTCAACAGTTCCATCGATGAGCCTCTTTGAGGCCCCTAGTTTGTAGGTGGGCTGGACGCTTAAGTGTTTCCGTCGAAATTGAAGATCTAATATTTGAACCGATCTCAACAAAAATCGTTTTTCTGAAAAGTTTGCTTCCGTGGACTAGAAGCCCTCTCTCCTAAGACTGTCGCATTTATGCAAAATGTTGTATTTACTTACTTTCCTATTACAGGCCAGAAATTTGCAATGATGGAACAAAAAGTGGTGATATCTTACATTTTGCGGAATTTTATCATCGAATCTCTGTACGGCATGGACGAAATTGAACTATCTTTCGATGTGGTAATGCGACCTAAAAAACCTCTTGATGTTAGACTCAAACCGAGAGTACAAACAAAATAATTAAATATAATTGAAAAAAAAAAAATCTATTCGTTAAGTTTTTATCTGGTTCCTTCCTCTGTCATTCATTTCAGATTTTTTTTTATTTTTCCTCATTTTTGTTAAATGGCAACAACGTGTTCAACGAATGACCTTTTAGTAAAACGAGATTGAATGGCAGATAGATTAATTGATCATGCCCATCATACAATGTAACACTAACTCATCTTACTCATCTAATTCCACATTAATATCGATGATAAAACACAAATCATCGACGATGAAACTCCGTAACCACGTATCTTAATTTGCGACGTTGCAGACTTCTTATCATACTTCGTTTTGTGAATAGGAAACTGCTCATCGTCAATTTATATATGCACTAACTCTTCTACAATTGTTCCTCTGTGCGCGAAGAAGATTCAGTAAGAAACTTCAAGAGATGATGTTGATTTGATCTGTTTTAAGGGAAAAAAGATGAAGCGTAGATTTTTAAACACTGCGAACGAGATACCTGGTTTAAAGTTTTATGTTCCGATGAAATGCAAAATATGCCGTCAGAGTCTTACTTTTCCTAAAACTTTATTTGTATTAATAAAATGGATTCGCGCATAGGAATTGAGTGATAAGTATTCTTCCTTAAATTGAGGTTCAAGTTATATTACAGTGAAAATTGCTTTTCACGATGTACACATTGAAACACTTATCCATCTCTTCTTTATATTTTGAAAAATTCATAAGTGCCATGAATTGCCTTCATGTAATTTTACATTTTTAAAAACGTTTTTCTACAAATAAAACATTTCACTTAAAACTCTTCTTCCCGCGATACCACTCAATCATTGCTCTTAAATCAATAACCGCATGAGTTCGCAGGAGAGGAGCGTAGCGAAACATCATTTGGACTACATTTTGAAATTTGGAACTATAAATTTTGGCTCTTCTGGAAAAACACTTATGTGCATAGGGAAACTAATGGCACATACGTTGTTTTTAAACCGGGCTAGAATTTATAGTTCCAAATTGCAAAATGTAGTCCATTAGAAATAGACTTGATAAAGAATATAATAAGGATCCGCATTCCGATGGCTACTGTCGAAAAACGCGTATCTCCCATTGCGACGTTGCAAAGTTCTGCTTTAAAGGAAACCTTGGTTCGCTACCCTTAAAGGAAACCTTATGTATAGCTTAAGGGAACGTTTCCGCTAAAAATTTTCGGTAAATTTCTTAACCTCGTGTACCACACAATTTTCAGAGAGGATTTTGAGGGAATATTTCGATCCTTTTTTTGCGATCAGAGATTTTCCAACGTTGCAATGGGGATACGCATCTGCTGTCCAAGGTTTTCGATTTGATACTTTGGAGGAACAACCAGAAAAATAAGATGATCTTAAGTATTTCTTTCAAAGCGGAGCCTCGAACTTAATGATCAGTCAGTATTCAAACAGCTGATTTATTTCAATCCGTTTATTTTGATGACAAGCAAATTGTAAAAATGGAAGGAAAGTACTGATGCATATCATAGTATTGTACTGCACCAAAGATGACTTTAAGTAATCTGTAAATTCTGATGTAATTTGCGAAGAATAAATGATGTTCCATTATTCACTGTTGTTCATTTATTTTTTCAATGAGTGTTGGCATCCTCTTCTCTCCCCAAAAATATGACGAGGTTTATAATTTCTGCGCAGCAGGCTGATTATTTAAGTTGATAGATAAAGCGATTTGGCAACACAGCGAGTCCATCTCGGACCACGGACCAATTATTAAAGCCCCCCTCCCTCAAAAATCGTCTCTTGAACTATTATTGAGCCGAATATTATCATCGCAGTGAGCGTCTGGTGAACGACGAGTTGGGTCGGCTCGGTTTTTGCTCAAGTGTTTTCCTCATTAAATGCACAATAATCTCTCATTAGAAGGTGTGTTGTTTCGCGGGTGTGTACTAGATAATCAGTGTTCACCATCAAAACGGATAAACTAGTGGAAGGATAAGCACCTGGACGTAAGTACTTATGCTGAAAAGAACTGTCAATGACCAAGGTGCGAAACCATTGCGACGTTTCAAACTTCCTATCATATTTTATTTGTTTATTCAACGTATTTCCTTGAAAATTTCCTTGATTTTTTTTTCGGAAAAATAATCAAAGTCTTTTTGTGAAAACTTCCTTTACTTTTTCTTCTTGATGTGAAGAATATTCTGCGAGTATTTCAAGCAATAAAGCACGCTCGTTTTCCTTACGATTAGGGCGGGAATTTTGAAACACTATAAGCAAAATACGCGATTTTTGCATTTTCACCGTCGAAACGGATTGAATCAAAAGGAGCTATATACATACGATTTGCGAGCTTCATACTTCTTTCTATTTTGATCCATTCACGCATGGTTCTTTATAAAACAAATGCGACTGATCGAGCTGCCTCACCTCGGAATAACAAATATCTAACAAAACGAAGTTACATAAAATAAATTATCATATATTAACGGGCAAAGTCAACTGTTTCGTGATTGAGCCAAAATGTATTAAATACCGGACATTACAAATACGCGAATAAATCATAATTGAGCGTTGATGTAACGAGATGTTCCTTATGAGATTGTGTTATCAATAACACGTGTAGTTATAATTTAAATAAGGCCGCAAATTCTCAATTGAATTGATCAGATATGTATCAGGAACGATTATGTTGACAAATTAAGGTTTACAGCCTTTGATTTCAGGCTGAACTTTTGCTCGGTGTGCTACGGATTGCGTGACAACCCGTGACAGGATCTTTCCTTGTAATCTAAATTGAACGTGTAGTCGAGTAATGACACGACGTAATTTTTTCAAATAACTACCATTTGCCCTTACGATTGACGCCTCTGTGACTTTGCAATAACTTATTGCAATTTTGGGGATAATAGGCCTGTTGCAAACTTTAGCTAGAGCAATGGGAAGAGTTGTATCCTAGAGAACATGGCTCAAAAAGCACAACATGCGCATTGCGCCTGCTTATATTCATCAAGATGACGTTGGATCTATTTTGCTATGCTAAGGAAGAACGCCGTATGAACATTTGAGATTTGCCTTTCCTCGAAAAAAAAAAACATTTGTGAGGACATTTTTGCATAGTTTTCCATGGAATTATTAAATATTTTAACTTGTATCGCGAAAAAAATCGTCTGAAATATTTGCTAACAAAGCACAATTTTCCCGGTTTTGACTTTTACTGAAGGCTCATACGGCGTTTTTCCTTAGCACGGCAGTGTTAGGATAACCATCCTACACTGAAAAAAAGTTACGGGCTATGTAGACATACCGTCCGTTCCGGGCTGAGAGACCGAAACTTCCGGGTGCTGGAGCCGTAGCTTCGATTTCCTCGGGTGCTGCGCCCGGAACTTTCGACTTCTGAGTCCGGCACGCGGACGGTATGTCCACATGGCGCGTAAGTACGGCTTTCTCGACCAGATTTTTTTTTTCAGTGCATCAGTCAGGCGGGTGTGACAACCACTACATCACTTTATCACTATCATTTTCAAAAGTAAAATAAAGTTTTCTAAAAAATCATATCATACAGCTTTAAAAAAGAAGGTATACATACAACACGGCAGAACTGATCTTCTCACCGCTATACAATCCGGTGGATAGGACCAAAATTGGCGCCTTAGAAAGGAGTTGTGCTATTCATAATCTACAATTCTACATGCAGCTTTCTGATCGCGTGCACCTGAACAGATTATGAAAATGATCCTTCGCGCATTACTGGCGGCTTTCATCGGATATGTCGTGTACGGATTTATCAAGATTTCCCGACAATTTTACAAGCGATTCCGCATGGCGGAAAAAATACCGGGGCCCCCGATAGAACACCGACTTCTAGGACACCCATCACTAGCGTTGCTTGAACCCAAAGGTTAGTATTTTTCAGCTATTATTCATCGACATGCCTGTCATAAAAATAGTTTGACCCTGAGAATAATAACAGTCAACGGCTCACAGTGGATAGAGTCGATGGAGGAGGTCGGACAAAATTTGGAAACTTTGATAGCTCCGTTCATGTACAAAACTTTGATGTTTGAAAGTGGTTTCATTGGTTTCCTCGTGAAATTTTCTTTTAGGGCCACCCCTTAAAATGTAAAATGTGACGCAATGAACATCAAAATTTAAATTTTTTTGTTAGAAATATCATTCCGACCTCTCTGATAGACTCGATCCACTGTGCGGCTTGGAGGGAACGCATATCCGGGAGCGAGTCTAATTTGTTGACATTCTTGCAAGAAAATTGCATTTCTAAGCCGCTTTCTCTTTCAGATCGCATGAGGAGGTTAGGAGCTGTATCCTGAGCCGGACTGATTGTTGACACTCATAGACAAAGCGATAGACAAAGATGACAAAAAGGATAAGGAGGAATCCTATTAGTGGAAACGGGTGGTTGCCACGGACAAAGGAGGTAGGTAATAGACTGACTAACGGCAACCCACGAAAGACTCTGTACTTAGTCCATCAGTTTTCCCCTTGGTCTATGACATCTACCCCTTCCAATCAATAAGATCGCTCCGTGTCCTATGTCTTCTTTGTCTATGGGTTCAGCTATGAATTTCATCGATCAGCCCGTTGTTCCTGAAACAACTTTCTCGAAAGGCTTCGTTTGATTTACATTATGATTAAGGGAGGTTTGAAGACTATCCTTAACATAAAATCATTAAAAGGACAGTTTTATCATGTCTCAGGTTTGGAAATAGTTTCATAATGCATGGGGAAAAAATGAAAAATAAATTTTTTTTGTTGACACCTTTATGGTTGGTGTGACACTCCCTTGAAATTGTCAATACCTGCACATCTTCCTTTTAATATTATCAATAGGTAGAAAAAAATCATTGTAATCCCGTGCAAAGGTGTTTTTAGAAGTTATACCGGTAGATTTTACTCAGAATTAATTTAAAATGTCCACTCTGTAATATCATGTTAAGGATCTCTTGAAAAATTCTTTTATTTACATCTGCTTATATGCACAACATTACGATTCGGTACGGTAATAATTTTTCCTTGTAAATGCAATCTAGGACAATATGTGCTTGGGCAATATAAACCATATAGGATAGACCTAGTGAGGAAAGAAGCTATTTCAGGAACGACTAATCATACAGCCCTATAGGTACTTGCTCGTGGTTGCCCCCCCCCCCCCCCCCCCCCCC